CACACACACACACACACAAACAAACAGGTGAGCTGTCAGGTGAGGGTTCAATGATGTCAAGAAAGTCAGAGGGAACCAGACTCCTCGATGCGTCCGCCATGTTGGGTAGGAAAGGGGGTGGAGCCAGAGACAGGCTGCAGTGTTTCAGGTGTTTTGTCATCAGCAGCTTCAAGAACGGGTCTCTGACGAGGGAGCGCGTCAGGAACGAGTGTGCTGGAGCATCATGGGAACTTTTCTCAGCAGCTTTGAGTGACACGCCGCTCGGAAACCATGGAAACATCGGTGAGGTTCATTTCACCTCATCATTTCCTGTCCTTGCTTCAGTTCCTTTCTTTTTCCTTACTTTCTTTCCTTCCTTGCTTCCTCTGTCTGATTCCTTGTGCTGTGTGTTTTCAGGCTTTTATTTTGAAACTATGGAGATCACTCCTCCTGTGATTGGTGTTCATCGCTTTGACTCTGCTGACTGTGAGGTCTGTGCACCAACATTTATCATGTTTCCATCTATTAACACCCAGACTGTGACACACCTGTCCCACCTGTTTCACGTGTCCCACCTGTTTCACCTGTCCCACCTGCAGGTGTCCTCGCTGAGTCCTCAGGTGGAGGTTCGGGCTGTGGTGGAGGGTCAGTTCCTGTCCAGGCGGCTTCATGCTGAGAGACTGGGATACTCCATCAGTAAGACCTCCTCAGACCTCACACGCTTCCATTTGCTGTTTGATTTTACTGTGAGAGGAAGCTCGTGGATCACGCTCAGCTCTGATTACACGTTTTAAACCTCAGCCCTCGTTTCATACAGAAGTCTTTACACTGGCTCTGATTCTGAGCCAGAGCGCTGTAACAGTGACCGAGGTGACGGTAAAGCCGTCGTCCTCCTTAGATAAACCTTGAATGTCCTTTAAGTCTCAGCTGGGAGTACATTTTGTGTTTTCAGTTCCAGGAACCAGAGTTCTGGCGACGGGAGGAGCGTCATCGAATAAAGAGATCCTGCAGGTCCGTCTGAGGCTTTATTAGCACCCACATGCATAGACTGTATGTAAAAGATGGACATAGCCATAATGATGTCATCAAAGCAGCAGCATTTTTGTGAGTTTCAGAGGGAGAAGAGTCACTTCCTGTGGTCTCCTCCATAGGTGCTGTCTGACGTGTTCAACGCTCCGGTCTACACCATCGACCTGTCCGACTCCACTTGTTTGGGTTCAGCCTACAGAGCTCTGCACGGTCAGTGTGCTCACAGCTTTTATTTTGAAAAACCCGCACTAGACTGCCTCGTCTCTGAGCTCTGAGAGAGTTTCAGTTTGAAGAGAGAAGAGAAGGAGAGGACATAAAAGGAAAGAAGAAGATTAAGCAGACTTTTAGCAGACTGTTAGCAGCTGTTAGCAGACTGAATGTGGTCTAGTTGGCAGTTACTTGCAGTCTGTTAATAACTAACGTGAGATAACTTTATGTGATTGGATAAACCAGATGTTGACAAAGCGAATCAGAAAATGTTAATTCACAATACTATGGTATCATGAGATGTCTGTTGAGTCTCAGCTCAGCTGCATATATGCAGACTGTATACTTGGTCTCAGCCCGATGACCTGCAGTACTCTGGTGGAAGCCCTGATGGAGATGGCTGTGACACTTTGCTCATTGGTCTGTGGAAATGGAAACAGGGTTCTATATTTTTTGATTTCCTTTCACATGAATAAAAATATTTGGGCCAAGTTCTTAAACTCAGGCAATTTCTTTACTTTGTCAGACCGCTCTGATGCAACATTACACTCAGGTCCATGAAAAGGGAGAAACTATGTCTACAAACAGAAAAACATGGTGACATGACTGATTCACAGCCTGCAGTGAGACCGTCTGACATCAGAACAGGAAAAAGGCAGATCAGTGAATTCTGCTTCAGGTGTTTGTGAAATATGGCTGTAAGAAGCCTCTGATTGGTCGATGTCTGGTTTCAGGCCTGGTGGCAGAATCCGGAGCGTCCTTCGTTGATGTGGTGAAGAAAGCACCAGAACCACGACTGGTCGCCACCCCGCACCCGAAGGCGAAGGAGGTGAGGCGGCCACTGTATGATGATGCGCTGCTGGCCTCTGAAGCTGAACCGTGCAGAAGGTCTCTGAGGCAGTAGGAGCTTCATGAAACGTGCCCTCATAACCACAGAAACACTTTCTGCTCTCCAGCAGAGACCAACACCAGTGTTTCTGGGGAGACATTAAGGTGACGGACCAGCTGCACATGTAACACACTAACAGTAAACAGCTAATCGTAAACACATACCTACTGGATTTTATGAGTCATGTGATTCAAACACACGTTACCTGCGTGGTGATGAGTCCTCCGCTTCTTTTAAACATGTCTCAGTCCTTCACATGTTTTACTTCCTGTCACTGCTGCAGCTGGTCCGTCACCTTAATGAAACCCCCGTGTTGGTCTCTGTGAGCTTCTGCAGCATTTTTCTATTTGCTGCTATTTTCTTCAGTTGCAGTGTGTTTGAGCTCTCAGTGCCGCTGTATGAATCAGGTCTAAAACAACCTGCAGGACGCTGGAGCAGATGAGTCCAAGGAACACACTGAACAAACTCAAAGTCTTACCAAGTACATTTGTTTTATTTCTAATCAAAATAATCTCATCACACTTAAAATAAGACACAATCAGCCACTGAGTAGCTGATTGGCAGACTTTTTCACTTATTCCAAGCAAAAAAAGTTTGTATTAAGTGAAAAAAATCTGCCAGTGGAACAAGTGAAAATGATGTAATTTCAAGATGCCCTTTCTAAAAACATGTTTTCTAAATCTTACTGAAATGTTACTCAGTAGTTGATTGTGTCTCATTTTAAATGTGATGAGATTATTTAACTAGAAATAAGACAAATACACTTGGTTCAAGATCACAAGGTTGGTACAAGATTTTGAGTTTTTGCAGTGCAGGCTCTTGTCCCGTTCAGAGTTCCTCCAGTTTCCATCAAACAAACCTGTGAACACTCATTAAACTCACTCGCTGCTCACTCGCTGCTCACTCACTGACACACCCGGACTCATCACACCTGACACAGCCTCCCACAAGTGTTTCCAAGATGGCCTCTAAGCGCTGAGATTAAGGTGCAGACATGCAGCGTGTTTGAAAAGTGTCTCTGATGTCTCAGATATAGCCCCGCCCTCTCTGTCAGGTTAGGAAGCAAAGGCAAGCTCAGGATTTCTTCTTCTGTTTTGTTTCAGGTGTACGACGAGCTGCTGAAGCGCTACGCGCAATTGGAGGAGAGAGTTGTGCAGAAGAGCCACAGCTGAGCCTCAAACCGCCATCAGTGAAATCCCGCGACCACCATTTTCTACCGAAGCCAGCTTTGAGTTTGACTTTTACACCTGTTTACCTGAAAGAAGATCAGAGTCATCCAGGTAGCGTTAGTTATTCATGTGTAAGTTTTAGTGTACAGTCTGAAATAAAGTGAACGAGCTCATGAACATGTTTGGTTTCTCTTGCTGGAAAAAATAAAAAAGCAAAATTTCATCAAAAATATTAAAAATGTACATAATAAAATACAAATCAATTCAAAATAAACAATGTATGAAATTATATTATAGAATAAATAAAATTTAAAAGAGTACGTGATACAAAATAAAAGAAAATGATTAGAAGTAAAATCTATTTTTAAAGCGAAAAGTGAAATTAAGAAAAAATCAAAGATCTATTTTTAAGCGTTTATTGTAATTTTCTCAGTTTTCATGTTGAGACATTTTTATTTTTCTACATTTCCATAAGATTCGTTCATCCAGACGTTTCTATGCAGAATAATAACAGAGCTGAAGGTCTGCTGACAGACTCAAATGATGCTGTTGAACCTTCATGTACGACTGAGCCGCTGACATGAAGAACTCTTTATAACCAGCGAGACGTCACAGGTGATGATGATGATGGTGAGAGCTCCTCTGTGAAGCTCAGAGAAGGATGGACCATCAAACTTTTGCTCTTTAAAAACTCAGAAAAATCAGTTCATGTATTAATCGGTTCAGGTATCGATCGATCGCGTATTGATCCCTGTGAGGCTCCACGTGTACGACCTGCTGCTGAACCCGGTCCTCCTCAGAAGCTCGAGTACATCCCCAGCATCTTGGCGGCCTCAGAGATCCTCGGCGTCTTCCTGCTGGGGAACGGGTAGTAGACCTGGGAGTGTGAGGATGCCCCCCCCACGCTCTGCTGCCTGGTAAACCTGAGCGTCCTGGAGCTCCTTCCCTCCAGGACGCTGTTACTGGTCTCCTTCTGTGTAGACCGGTTCTCCTGCTGGTCCTGTTGCAGGCTGGTGGTGATAGGGGTGGAGCTTTCCGTCAAGCCCAGAGAGTAGTCCGGAAACGCCAGGTCCCCCCTGGAGCCCCTGAAGGATGGAGGGTCTGGACCTTCCTCTTCTCGTGTGGCGCTTAAGGAGCAGCAGGGAGGCGTTTCTGAGGAGCTGCCCGGAGGAGCCAAGAGTCTCCTGTATCTGGACTCGTGCCGCGAGCCGCCGACCTCGGAGGAGGACGAGCCGGAGCGTCTGCAGAGGAAAACAACAGCACGGGAAGATATTTGTACAAACTGAACCTTCGCCATCATCAGAGAGAGCAAACTGTGAGGACAGCTGTGAGGAGGCGTGATGACACTGAACCTCCTTCCATGTTCCTCCAGAGCGTGCAGGCGGGCTCCTCCCAGCAGGGATGAAGACCTCTCAGGCGGACATGATGAAGACCTCCTGCTGTGCTGGAGCTCTGACAGAGAGGAACTCACCTGCTGGATGTCTCTGGGCAGGAGCGCCGGTGCAGGTCCAGGTGGACGTGCCAGGGGTCGGGGTCAAAGATCACGGGTGGTGGCCATGGTAACGTCAGACCCTGAGGGGCGGGGACGATAGCGACTGCCTTGGACAGCTCCTCCGAGACTAAAGACGGAAATCAGAACATGAGAAATCCTGACCTGCCCACAGCCAACACGAGCGTCCAATCATCAGAGAGAGACCAGGACCCAAAGGATCAGCTGACAGGAAGCAATAATCTGAAAGAGGATGGTTTCTAATCTGTGACGCTCAGATGTGAATATTTGTCTGTGAAACAAGTTCGACTCTGAACGCTCAGTTATTAAAGATTCTTCACACCTTTCAAATTATTGATCACTGATCAGTGTTTCTGTTTGTTCAGAGACACAGCGCCCTCTGCAGTCTGACTGCAGTAAAGCAAAGGCTCAACCGGCTCCAAACTGCAGCTCCTGCACTCGACTTGTGGCCCCACTGACTCACCTGAGACTCACCTGAGACTCACCTGAGACTCACCTGAGACTCACCTGTTAGAAACAGAAACTGAATATGATGAAAATAAAAGCACAGCCATCAGATCCTGTGAGTTCACTTTAGAAAGAAGAAAAACCTCCAACAGTCACATCAGCCAGAGCAACAGCAGGAAGTTTCACCTTCAAAATAAAAGCTCATATTTTACAACAGCAGAAGAAGCAAGTTTATGTTTCTCACATCAGGAAAATGGTGTTAACAGAGTACTTTTACTTTATAGTACTTTTACTTTGTAGTACTGCTACTTTTACTGGAATAAGTGATTAAAACACACAAAGGATCCAGCACAGTCTCTGCATGTCTGACATGCTTTTATTGTGAAGGAATAAGTCTAATTTCTATCAGTTAACCTGACAGATGAATTTTTACTGAGTTTAAAAATTTTGTCCAAAGTCAAACAGGAAGTGGATCAGACGGCGTTTCCTCTCACCTGTCCTGAGCAGCAGCACCTGAGTGTGCCTCCTCCTCCTCTCTCTGGAGCTCCGATACTCTTCTCTGAGCACAGACACGTCCATCTTCCTCCTCCTCTTCCTTCTTCCTGCAGCAGGAGAGGACACACAGTGACCTTTGACCCAGGCACACCCAGCCTGAAACCTGAAACCTCCTCACTTCTTTTATTTACATTTGACCTGATAAAAGTCTCTTAATGTGAAAAGCAGAATCTGACCTGATTATCAGATTAGATTTAATAATAGAAACATGAATAGAAATCATTTTCTATATAATCTGATATATAAAGCTGTCATATGGTGTCATTCAGTGTAAATGAAGCTGTTATGAATCATAGTGGGAATGAATAGATGTGTGATGTGTTCAGGGTCCCTGTTATAAATGAATATAAATGAGTAATGGAGAATAAATCAGCTGCTGCTGTCATGACTTTGAGTCTTACCGTCCAGCTGCTCCTCGCTGGGACTCACGCAGCAGCCGGAGCAGCAGGACATCCTGTTGGCAGCAGCAGCACACCTGCTCAGGTGGTTTATTCCCCGTCAGTGCAGCCGCTTACATCATGATGCGTTTAAAGGCCGTCTGGAAACTCCGACACATCCAAACCTGCTGCTGGAATCCTTCCAATGAGGTTAAAGCTGCAGAGAAGTCGAGTGAGAAGAGAAAGACGTGTTAGTGCAGTGATACTGTCACACACACACACACACACACACACACACAGTCGTATCAGCCTGTTTGAGCTCTTGAAGTGAGGCAGGATGACATCACAGACTGTGAGGCTGTGGGTCACATGATCACCACAGTCACATGTTTGAAAGCTCTAAGTGAACATTGTTTGGTTTGGTTGATGTCCTCCAAACAGAAAAGAACCCCTCCCACTAAAACCATCGCCGTGGATTCAGTCCCCACATACTCATGTTAACATGTCCAACATGTCCAAATAAACATGTTTACAGCCCCTCTGCAGCCAGCTTCCTCCTTCATGTTTCATGTGGTTTGTGGTGATGAAGAGAAGACACATCGTTCTTGTTTCTCTCCACATTCAGATCAGTGATCATCACAGATTTGTGTGTGACTTGGAGGTGATGGTGATGCATGGTGTGCGGCTCATATGTGCGTGAAACTAATGCGTGATGGTTCCCCTGAGATATGCATGTCTGATGATTGTTGGATGGAGCGAGCAGAGAGTGAACTTCCATCCTGGATTTGATGTTATCCAGGGAAAATCGTCATGGTAACGTCTTACAATATTATGAAGATCAGGTTATAGCTTCTCACCTCCAGACTGGAGATCAATAAGTATGACATCACCGCCTACTGACCAGTCAAGTGTCAGCATTTGTGGAAGATCCCTCTGTGTGGACAGAGGAGGTCTATTACTAGTGCTCTGATCAACTCGCCACAGTTTTCAGGGTTTAAGCTCCTTGAAGCCTGAAGCCTTCCAGCCTGATGGTTCCCAAAAAGGTTCATTTCTCAGGGCTTCATGTGCACACAACCCCGCCTGCTGGTGAAAGACTGGCAGTACAGACAGATTATAGGTGATTTTATCTGTTTGAATAGAATAGAATAGAATAGAATAGAATTGAATGCCTTGTAGAAACAAACTGTTCTTGAGTCTGTCAGAGTTTGTGCTGAAGAGAGGATGCGCTCTTCTATACCATGTTATATATAAATGTACGCGTCCACTGGTTAATTACATAATCATGTGGAGGCAGGGACCTCACAGCACAAGCGTACTCACAGCCTATTATATGATTGTTTTGTACATTGTTATATATGTTGTATTTGTTTATTACTAAAAACATCAAGAAGTCAAAGCAAAAGGAGAACACAGCACGGTTTAAACCAGGGAGGTTTGTTCATCTAAATGATTTATTATTAAAACAGCCCCACAAACACACAAAGCTCCACATCAGCCCGATATCAAACAGAAGCTCTGCAGAGCGGCCAATCACGATGAAGCACTTTACATTAAGCAGATTCAACTGCGCTTCATGTTTTTGGCCACCAGATGTCACCAAAGAAGCCTGTGCTAAAAAGCTTTTTCAATACAAGCCTCAGAAAGCTTCATTTGACCATCGCTGCCCAATCCTCAGCACACAACAAACACTTTACTTTGGATTAACAGAAAAGACTTAAACATATAACAAACATCAAATATCTGTAATGATGCGGCTGAAAGTGACCTGAATGGGGGAAACGTCCTCTTCCTGACAGGCTCCTTCAGAATAAGAGTCAGTAAAACACAACCTGACTCT